AAAGATAAAAACAGGACAACAGCAGCATTTTTTGTCCCTGCCAAGTGGCTACAAGTTGGAGGTGCTTCCCTCCTCCTGTCAGGTGAATTCAGAACTGATGAGACAGAGACTGCCATTGTGCAGGTAGGTGCTGAAAAGACACATGCAATCTCTGCATCTTTACAAGGCTGCTGTACTTCACATGGGCTGACTGCTGCAAAGCCCTAAGCAATACACTTCTGCCAGCCACCTACCTTGGGGTCATGGCTTTCTGGACACAGTAGCACAGAAGTTTGGTGCCAGCTGCACAGCTATTTTCAGTCTCATCGTTTTTCAGACAGACTCATGAGGAGAGACTGGAAACAGGAGCTACTTCAGTTGATCCCACTGACAAAAAAAAGTCATTAAAAACAAAATTCTCAAAAACAAGATCTAACATATCTGACTGCCACAGTTCACTCTGTGTTTCACACTCTCTCCTCCAACCACAACTGCTTCCAGAGAACCCACAGTCCTGAGCTTTTCCTTAAGCCATATTTTGAAAACTTTAGTCTCATGCACAGCAATGGTTAAGAAGATCCCACCCTCTTATTGTCTTTCTCAGGCACAAACAGCCGTCCTAGTATAACCACACCAGGCAGACTAGAATTCTCCTCACTGGATGGGGTGATTGATTCACATCTGAAGTACTATATCTTGCCAGATTATTTTGGTACTTCTACTCCTGTGTTGAACAAGACTCAAAAACTGACAACAGGAATAGACAAGTGGACAAAAATGAAAAAGAAAATGGACAAATAATAAACATGTTTGAAGTCTAAATTGAAAAAAGCTTTATTTCCAGTTCTTAGCCACAGTCCTAGAAGATGTACTTGCCTGAACCAATCTGTCCATTGTCAATGAACAACTGGAGTCAGCAAACACATTAACAGTCTTCTTTTGAGTCATGCTGTACATTCCAGATTTTTTGCAGCCAGCAGTTCAAGTTATTTAGAATGATTTGTTTTTCTCTGTTGTATGAAGAGCACGATGACAGGCAGAGCAAGAAAGCTGTACGATAGTTAATGTTGTGCAAGCACTGGAATGATTAGAAAACCGTTCTGAGTAAACACATCAATTTCTCCAAAATGTATTTATTCAGTTGGTAGACTCTAAACAGCTGTCCAGACTACCAGAACTACAGAACATTAGATCTGCAAAATGTTCATTTAACTCCATTAGAAAGTCAAAAATTAAGCTGAATACCACAGGATCAGATGGGAAGCCTTGTATGAAGAGCAAAATTCTATGGAGATAAACTAGAAGATCTTTGTTATCGCACAAAGAATTATGGAGACAGAACACTGCCTGTTCACAATTAACTCAACAGCAAAACTTAATTGGCATAGGAATCAACACCAAATGAGAGCAGATCTGAAACACATGTCCAGGCCCTAACAAGATACCTTGGTCAAATGACTCATTCATAACCACTTCACTAGCTGCATTTTCCTCATAAAAAATAAAGCCTTTTTTTTCTTTATAATGTACTTGCAAAGAGAAAAGAATTTATCTCCTAAGATGTCTCTTTTCTTCTCACCCACACTGAGGAGATATTTTCCTCTTCTTGTCTCTTTCTCAATTCTAAATCAAATTCCTAGCAGCTTCTTATTCAAGACTTCAATGGTGATTCAAGCAGGCTGAAAGCAGCTTGTTCCTTCCAAAAGATGAAGAAGGATACACCGTGAGAAAGATTTCTTCACTGTTCCCAGTGCAGTGGATGTATAATTCCAAAGGTATCAGTAGTCTTTCTTACTTGCAGTATTGCTCTCTTCTGCTTCATTTAGAGGCTAGCAAGTATCAACAAATCTGTATCACACAGAGGGATCCCCATCACAAGGGGGAAGGATGCAGTTAACAGTTAACATATATGAAAGTTAATTGCACATTTTTCTTTTGCAATAGAGATTACTGATTCCATTTCAATTGTTTAGCAAGATAAAAGAAGGTAAACACTGTAAGATTAAAAAATGAACATCTTCCCTCCCTTCAACATATTGATGTTTCAAATTTGTTTAGAAGATAATTCAATTTGCCACTGACTGACAAGTAGATGGTATATAAATAACCACACACACAGGCTTTGCTCTAAAGCTCAGAGAAGATTCCAGAAGAAACACCCAACTGTAACCTGCTGTAAGTAAACTATACTGTTCTTGAACATCACAGCATATTTAGTATTCATTCACTGTACCAATGGTAATATCAGTGAGTGTTCATAGTGAATCTCTGCCATACAAGACACTGCCTATGCAGAGTTTGGATTCCAGAGATCTGGATGCAGTTTTGATGCACTACTGAGCTTGCTCACACATGCAGACGCCCAATAGAACTGCTGACTTTTTGAGATGTTACATATTTATATCATGCATTATTAATACCACAGACACAATGCAATTTTCAGTTAAGTCAACAAGAACATTCTTGTTGTCCTAGCAAGCCTGCTGTTAGCTAGCTCTTAGAAAAAAAAAAAAGAAGAAAAAAAAAAAGGTTTCCATTCATGCATGCCTAGGAATAAATGTTCCATCAATCCAGATTATTCATCAGTTTTGTAACATCTCTCTGCCTGACACTGGCTGCCATAACAGGCAACTTGCTCCATTTTCTTCTGAGAAGAATGTATCTTGCTTGGTAGCCTATTCATCTACTCTGTCAAACAGAAAAGGAGTAGCCACACATGTTAAATTCATGCAAGAAGCATGTTGAGGTAACTAACTCAATACTGCAATCCACACCACCTTAACAGTTACCTTCTAGCTACCCTCCAGACAACAGACAATATTGTGGTCACCAGACAGACAGGTCTCTGACAACCGAATTTAACCTGATCCACTTTAGGCCAATGCCACAGTAAGAAGAGAACAAGCAAGAATTCTTTTAAAATTACATCCCTGAGAAGCTACTTATGATCCAGTTTCTAGCTTCCATCTCCTTTTGGATGAACAGCACAAGTATTATTTTATATTAGCCTACATCATCTGAAAACTTGAATTCACATAATATAAAAGCAGAATAAGAATGGATTGAGTGATTGCAAGAAAGACTCTGGTAAGTGTTTGTTCACATTGCAAAACTGCTGATAAAATGTTGACCTTAGCTTTTGATGTGGCCATAACAGAGAATCTACTCTGATGTGAGCTTTAATTACACAGTAATAGAATCCAACAGAGATTCTCTGATGGAGTTAGTCCTTTTCATACCTTGACCCATATATTTTTTTCTTACCCAGCAGGGACATTTAATAGATTAGACTATTAAACATTGCTCTGTCTCATCATAAATCATTGAGACAACACTTGCAATTTAGATAGCCTGAAATGACCTGTTTTTCCATATCCACAATCTAACACACCTGTTTGGTTTGACTTGTTACTGCTGTCAATATTAGGTGGCATATTAGAATCCAAATGGCACGTCAGGACAAATCCTTGAAATATACAGCCTTGCCTCTTTCCCAGACCTCCTGACCTCATTTTCCTAAGGTCCATCCACCAAAGGACCTCTATAGAGTATTAAATTCTTAGTGTTTCCCATATTCCTGTATTAGCAGCATAATACTCTACTGAAAAACCCATCAGGAGAAAACTAAAGGCTGCCATAGATGGAGAGGTAGTGACAAGAACTAGAAATAAGGTCTAGAAAGGAACTGAATTGAATTTGGGGACGCATCTCTTTAGAATTCATTTTAAAAGAGTTAAGGTTTCTTTGTACTGTATAAGGAATATTGATTCCCTCATTCCTCATCCCAACAGAATTTACACTTCAGGTCTCTCCGAAACAAAACAAACAAACAAAAAAACTGCACTTACAGAAACACAGAAGGTCAGCAGATTTCATTTTACTGTCAATCACTCAATAGTAGCACTCCCTACTCCATTACCAGTTTGTTTCAGTGACTTAAACTTAGTAATATCCATGGAGAGCTGGCTGTCCAACAGCTCATATCAGGGCGAATAAATCCATGTCTTATTCTTCTTCTAAAACTTCTGCTCTTCTTGGATGTTACTAATTGTACATCAGTTTTTTAAGTCCTCCACGCACACAATATGTTACAATATGGCTTAGACTCAGATTAACTGTACAGCACTGTACAAGGAACCGTTAGCAGTTTTGAAACATGATCTCATCCAGCTTTCTTCTTATTGCTTAATCAGTTCCTCATCTCATGCTTTCTTCTACACTGAATGAAAAAAGCCTCTTGTGAGGGGCTTTGCCACAGGCTTTTTGAAAGATTATGACTAAATAAAACGTTGCGGTAAAGATGCAGACCACGCTAAACTAAACAGAAAAGGGATCAGGAGACCAACTGCCTGTACATGACTCATTTTCTGCCACACATGTAAATGACGCCTTGTGAAAGGCACAAAGGCAGAGATCAAGAAGTCTTTGATAAGATGGGTGCTGCTACTTAATGATTAATAACAAGTGAACACCACCACTCTGAAAAGTCATCGTTCGTGCAAATCAGATTCTGGCTCCCAGCAGACCCTCCTGTCTAAGCCATTAAGACTCTCCCTCCTACCACCATTAGTCATGCTAAGTATTAACATTATTCATTATTACTCATAGTTTACTCTCTGAATAACCCATTAATTTCAGTGAGACTTCTGCAGTAGGAGGTAGCAGATAATCTACGTGTTTGTATATGTATACGTATATAATTAAAGGCTATCAAATTAGAAGACTGACTTTCCCTTGCTGACTAAGCTGATCCTTAAAACTCTGGCCCCAGAGCTGAAGGTATTCATGGCTGTAACTGAAGACATGCTAAGTCAAGCTTTCAAAAGTACCCATGACAGAATCAGTTTTAACAACATTTTTCACGAGGGTGCTACGAAGTTACACAGCCTTTCACCTCCAGGCTCTACTGTCTGGAATAAATTTTGAAGCCAGTGTACTCAGAACTCCCTAACAGCATGCTACTAACAAAGTTAGTTAGGAGGTTCTGAAGAAAACACACCAAAACGAAGACAGCATAGTACCTCAGGGGCCATTTCTCCAGATGTACTTGCTCTTCTAAGGATCCCACTGACATTCAGATCATTTCTCCTCTGCAGGTCTTCCTTCTTTAGGAGCTGGGAAGAGAAGCAAGCCAGCTAGCCATGCACTGTGGGATCAGACTGTACTTTACCCCCCTCTATAGGCATCCTGTGATTAGAACCATTCGAGGAAGGGGGGCAAAATCTTAAAGAACCAAAGCACTCATGAAAGCACCTCAATCATCCAGGTCCCAACTAACTTCACTGATGTTTTTATTTTTCAAAAAAGAAAGATAATTCTCTGCGCGATTTTAGTATATTTTCAAACTTCACGTGTTGCAATGCTAATTCCTTAATGACACTTTTAAAGAGGTCAATTCTTGTGATAGTTTTCTGCAGAAATAGATAGGGACAGCAGGCAGTGAGGAAACTGAAAGGGTACTGGCTGTAAACATGACAATGAGTCACAAAAGCATGACTGTTGTCTGCTCCCTGGTCATTTCCTTCACTTATTTAAAGGAATTTCACTGGGGGTGAGAATTATGACTTTTTTTATGCTATCCTCATACCTTACACTCACTCCCCTCCCCCAGATGAAGACTGTGAGCACAGCTATAGTCACCCCCCAACCTGTTTTCTCACCACTGCTCCCTGTTTGAGCCAGCTGGAGCAGGCAGTGCCTCTGAGAAGCCAAGCTCATAATCCCATCAGGGGAGGGTGATAGCAATCTGAAAAAAGCAGGCAAGGCGGGACACTTTCTAAATACTACCACCCACAGGAAAAATTGTACTCAGCTGCTTACAGACTGTGCAAGCCTGTCTGTACTCCTGGCTGGGACAAGGAGAAGAAAAACAAATACAGGGTCAGGCTGTGCTGTTTAGCTCTGGCCCTTTTGAGAACTAGAGCGTGTCTTTCCTTGAGCTATTGAACTTGCTCAGTCTCATGCACTGGATGCATTGACTCATAGGAGTGGTTCCCAGCTTTTGTCTGTTCACAGATGGGGCTGAACTTCACTTTCAGAGAGCACCAGGCTGACATGACAGCTGAGGATGGCTCAGTGGGTCTCAAAGAGACTGCAGCAATTTTGACATCAGATCCCACCTGCTGAGTTCACTGAAGCTCAACTCCTAGGTGTAGCTGATCTCCAAGAGACACTCTCCTATCCACATGCCACTGCACCAGGAGACTTCTCACACCACAAACCCAGCTGTAGCAGGGGAGTGATTAGGAGGAGGCATGCAGAACGATACAATTGCTGCCTTCTTCCTCAAATTGTAAACATGAAGCATCCCCTGCAGCTGAAGATAATTTTAGCCACCAGAATCTGTTAAGAAATAACAGCCATGTACTTCCCTGAGAACTGGCATTGCATTTTGTTCTGCTGCAGACAAATACTGAGGCCATGGAAGGAAAAAAAAACATTTATCTCCCACACAGTGACGCCAGAACAGAGGCAAGCACTATGTAATCCAAAACAATTAATAAAATGATCCTACTATTAAACTGAACTTGGAAATACTTCCTTTACTTCAGATAGGCTTCTCTTTAACATAGTAGGAGGGGTGGGGTTCTTCTCAGATTGGTAAATATTGTCAGAGTTACATTACACCTAAGGTGTGTTTCTAGATGGGGGCCAATACCAACATGGATTTCAATTGCATACAAGCCCTCCACCTACCTTTCCAAGAACTCAGTGATAATCTCATGGAGATTGACCAAGGCTGACATAATTTATCTTAAAAAATATCTGCTCGAGGACATTTGCAAATAACTAGCATAAGAGCAGAGTCTGTCAGACAAAGCCAAGAACTGCCACACTTCTGAAGCTCAAATCTTTATTGTTACTACTATCATTAAAAATTCTATAGATTCTGCTGTATCACCCCATCTCAACCAGAAATTTCTGAACTAGTCTATGTTGCTGTTTGAGAAATAGAGGGAACAGTTATTCACCCATCACATAAGAACACAGTGAAGAAATATTAGGTAACATCTGTCTTCCTTTTTTTTTTCTTCAGAAAGTCTCATCATATAATCTGTCCTTAGCAAATATAACCACAGCAGCTCTCATGGGCATAATGAGTTGTGTTCTTTTAAAATATGTGTGTCATAGAGGGCCTAATAAACAGGTGCTTTTTCATAGAGTCAGTCACAGAGCCATAGGATGGCATGGGTTGGAAGGGATCTTGAAGATTGAGTTCCAACCCCACTGCCATGGGAAGGGCTGCCACTCACTAGATCAGACTCCCAGGATCCCAGCCAGGGGACACTTCCAGGGATGGGGCACCCACTGTTTCTCTAGGCAACATGTTCCAACACCTCATCACCCTCTGATTAAATAATTTCTTTCTGCTTATATGCTCTCTTCAAGTACTGGAAGGCTGAAATGAGGTCTCCCCTGAGATTTCTCTTCTTTAAGCTAAACAAACCCCACTTTCTCACTTGTGATCAATCTTTCTCCATAGCAGAGGATCTCCAGCCCTCTAATCATCTTCTGGTCCCACACCAACAGCTCCACATCTTTCCTGTACTGGAGGTCCCAGGCCTGGAGGCCATACTTCAGATGGGGCCTCATGAGGGCAGAGTAGAGGGAGGCAATCACCTCCCACTGCCTGCTGGCCCAAGATACAGTTGGCCTTTTGGGCTGCAAAGCGCATGCTGCTGGCTCATGCTCAGCCTTTCAGCTACCAGAACTCCAAATCCATCTCCCCAGGACTGCTCTCAGGGGTTCTTCTCCCAGTTTATACTCATATTTGGGATTGTCCCAACCCAAGTGCAACACTATGCACTTGACCATGTTATGCCTCATTAGTTTCTAGTGCACCCACTTTTCAAGCCTGTTCAGACCCCTTTGCACTGCATCCCTTCCTTCTATTTTGTCAACTGCACCACTCAGTTTGGTGTCATCAGCAAACTTGCTAAGGGTACTTTCAGTGCCATTGTCTGTGGTGTTCATAAAGTTGAAGGGCACTGGTCCCAAGACAGACTCCTGAGAGACACCACTCATGACTGGCTTTCATATGGATGTAAAACCATTGAAAACTACCCACTTTTTAGTGAAGTAAAAGAAAAAGAATTGTTTAAAATTATATCAATTTTGATTGTGAGATATGCAGGTCAATCCTTTTCCCGCTTACTGTTAAACTTCAATGGCAGATCAACGGGCCCCTGAGGCAATATATTTTAAGTTACTGATATTCACAGGAGTTTCCCTGTGAGCACAAATGTCATACAGCAACCACTGGGCAAGAATAAAATTGTGACATTATTACTAGTGCAGAATAATGGTTCATGATCTTTGCACTGTGCCCTATAGTGCAAATGTCACTACATTTATTAAGATATTTCCTTTTCTTTGAGTTTGAGGGTATGGATCACAGCAGGAAATATTTTTATTTTTACAGTGACCTTTGCAAAGCTTGCGAAGCTAGATTATGTTGTGGTAATGGGACAACCCAAAGGTCACGAAACATTATTCTGCCCTAGTAACTATTAGAAATGTGATGGGAGTTAGAAAAAAGTATTTGTCCCCAGGGCTGGTTTTTCTAGTCTTCCACCTCTGGAGACCTGGGTTCAATATTGGCCACGCCAGTTATATGCTGGAGGCTATTTATAGTCTTTGTTAGCATTTCATCAGCTAACTGGGGGCTATGCTTCCTGACTTGATGAAGTTCGCTCTCTCCTTAGATACTACTGAATCATCCAGACAGTAAACTTCATAATAAGACTGACTTGGAGGGAGTGAGAGCTAATGTCCAAATGCAAAGCCAAGTTCTGTCATTCCCTTAGGAAGAGATGATGTGAAACTACAGAGTCAGTTTGATAACTATCCTATCCGGGATAACGCTGCTAGGTAAAAGCTCCTTACAGAGTGCTGCACGGCTTGTTGGCAGTGGTCTATACTTGTCACATTCCATGTTGCCTGTTCAAATGTCAGATTACACTGATTTAAGCACACTACTACTGTGTTAGTCCTTACTTGTCAAAAATTATGGAACACTAAAACATATTGCATAGAAAGCAATGCAAATCTAGACCAGCAAGAGTGCTAGTGTGTGAAGTGTAAAGAACAGTAACAGCAGCCAATAGGTATAAATGCCTGCAAAAATATGTATTTTCAGCACTATGTCATTTGAGGGCACCAGATGCAAAATCACAAGTGAAACAAACATAAAATCCAAGACTGAAAACCACATGTTTTACAAATGCAGAAGAGATGGGATGCAAAAATCAGACACATAAACTACTGCATCCTTTGAGTTTGAAGTGTCCTGTTGATGCATGCATAAGCAACACAACGTGAAATAGTTGCAGCAGAAAGATCATGACTCCTGGGGATGACACATGAGTTAGAAAACCAATTGCCTTGCTTTGCTTCAGAACGTCCCGTTCTGGTAATGCCACAACATGTCACTTTGAAACCAAAATGGCATTGAGAAGAATTATACAAACATTGGCATGCGGTTAACCCTGCTGGGACTTGTTACCATGATGTAACAACTTGTTTTTTCCCTTAGTGTTTTGCATGCCAGGATTATATGTATATGATTTTTAAAACATCTTTAGCCTAAGGGTCTTTATTATATTTGCTTTTTACTGGTAAAACTTAATTTAACAGAATATGTAGAATATTAATAGATATATAACAACATTAATAGAACACCACCTTTCAGGTCACAGAAACAGTGAGTGCATTGCTTGGTTGTCTTCACAAGGATCTGATGCTGAAAACATCTTAGATATTTTAATATGATAGAAGCAAGGAAGAGATGCATTAGGATAAACGAATCTGTGATTATTTCACAATTTTAGAAAACAAGAACATATTTTGGAGCTAGATTTTTAGTAAGCTTCGAGGATTACTGCAAGGATTCAAGGATACCTGCAAGATTACATCTGGTTTTTATTATTCTGTACTAATAAGTATATATATGATAAAATTTTCAAGGGGATCAACCACCAGAAGAGACTTTTTTACTATGTTCGTACGTGACAAAATGAGCTGAGATTTCATAACACAAACCTGCCCTCTGCTGGCAAAACGAGAAAATAGTAAATACAATCAAGAATCCCGTTTTGAAGAAGTTGTCTTTGAT